TTAGCGTAATCAACCCATGTCTAACAAGCCTAGCCAATGAAGATGATTTGGCTGCTGGAGGCAGTATGTGTGTCCCGACTGTTATAATGTCGATAGTGGCCACTAACTAGGGGTGGGGTGAAAATCTAGATCTCAGAAGGATTCAAGGCAGTAATCTTTGAGTTAATGGCCTGTAGCGTCATACACTTCCCCAAAATCAATAGCCTAGGGTTTGACGACTTCGACATTGATGCTGACCTTGATAGTTTAACTGGACTCGCTAAGCTGAAGGCACCCGGTCAAGCATCCTCGCCATTTGGCACGCTGTCGTGTTACGTTGCATTGCTCGTATTCGACTCTCTAGCCAGTTAGTTGGAACGCATCGGTATTTTGGCATAACCATCCAAATATACTATTCCATCCGACTACGCTATCGTGTTCTTCCTTGGTCTCGTATTCGTGGGTATATAACAAGTTCGAATAATTAGTGATTGGTCTTTGCGTCTGTCAAGTTCGCACCAGGACAAATCCTAAATTGGTGAGCCCGACGTGATCAAATATCCCGACGTGATCACATATCCCGACCAATAACAAGTATTGAATTGGTGAGCCTGTTCCATTTTATATTTGTTTATTGTTTTCATTTCGATAACATTTATATATCCATTTACTACACTTTCTCATGTCCGACCACACTCCCAAGCTTATTCGTATTAAGCCGACTCGAACACGATCCAACTCGTGCCATATTGGCCAGACAATGCAGAAACATGGTTTCTGTATGCCGAGGCCGATTTTCGAGAACAGGGTGTCTCAGATCCTCATCTCGATTTCTTGCTGTCATACGTTCACTACCGCGAGAATTAAACAGGTATGTTACAGCAAACATGTTTAATCCTGAAGTAAGTGACCCTTATGCACTTCTAAAGGCCGCACTCTTGAAGAAAAGCGATCTCACAGATCGCCAACGTCTAGACGAATTGCTTCGTAACATCGAGCTAGGCAGCCACTCAGCTACTGAAGTCCTCGCACGCATGCGAGAAGTAATCGGTGCACGAACATTTGACGATGGTTTCTTCCGAGAACTATTTCTCTCGAAACTACCACAACCGGTGCAAACCGTGTTGGTGACACTCCAGTCAGTCCCACTCGACGACCTGGCAGCCTCAGCAGATAAAATACTGGAGATATCCAGCAGACCCGTCTCCAACGTATATTCTATCTGCGACAAAACAGAGCGCCAGGATTCGGAGGTGACCAAGTTGTGCAACTCTGTGAACGGTTGCTACGATCTCGAAGTCCTAGATCACGTAGCACTTCACAGAAACGCACCTTGGCGCATCGCAGCAAGTCGCGTGGTAGCCCTAAAACGAAACCCAACAGGGTGGAAAACCCTGAATGGTGCTGGTTTCATAACACTTACGGGGATGAAGCCAGAAAATGTCGTAAACCATGCCGTTTTAAGAAGGACCCGAACTCGGGAAACGGTCACGCCGGCACGTGCTCACGGCAACCGTAGCCGGCGGAAAAAGCCGTTTGCTCTACGTCACCGACATTAAAACGAAAGTCCGCTACCTCGTCGACACCGGCGCAGAAGTTAGCGTTCTTCCAGCAACGACAAAGGAGCGTCATCTTGACCCATCCTTCAATCTTCAAGCAGCCAACGGCAAGGCAATCGCGACATTCGGGAGACGGTATGCCTACCTCAACTTAGGTTTACGCAAACCTATCACTGGATTTCCTCCTGGCAGACGTCTCTATGCCCATCATTGGCATAGATTTGCTAAACCATTACGATCTACTCGTAGATGCTCGCCGTCGACGACTGATAGATAACAGCACAAAGTTATCTATTGGCGGCACCACCTATGTAGGTCCGAGTTTAGCCATCGTTAGGACTAAACAATCAGGCGACGCGTCCTACCAGGCAGTTCTGGAGAAATATCCAGAGTTACAGCAACCGAAGCACACTCTTCCGTGCATAACCAGCAATGTTATGCATCACGTCACAACCACAGGTCCACCTGTGGCATCCAAAGCGCGCCGTTAGCCCCCGATAAGCTGCAAACGGCGAAAAATGAATTCGACCATATGCTCGAACTGGGCATTATCAGACCGTCGAACAGTCCTTGGGCATCGCCATTGCACATGGTTCCCAAAAAGGATAGCAACGACTGGCGTCCAACCGGTGATTACCGAAGGCTCAACGCCAAAACAACCCCACCGCTACCCGATACATCAATACAAACCCTCGTACACTTTGCCTTTTTATATCAATTTTTATTACCATGTGATAAAAACTAAAAAAAAACGGGAAGATAAGCGTAAATTTTTATTTTTCGATATGTTTATATATAAATAATTCCATTTTTACGCAACGTTTTCGTGGTATTAAAGACTTTTATTTATATTCCAGGTGCAACGAGCACTGGACGGAACGTCGAAAGGAACAGATGACCGCGACCGACGTACAATTCATTTATTGTATTTTATTTATTTAATCGCCACGACACCCTAGAATAAGGTTCAGACAACCAGGGGCCACCTCACGCAGTGAGCCCATCGGAAGAGTTTTACCAGTGGAGAAACCACTGGGTTTTTACTTCCGGCTGGTATCGTCTTAGGGTCCTCACGAACCCACTAGGGGGGAGTGATCTGTAGCGTCATACACTTCCCCAAAATCAATAGCCTAGGGTTTGACGACTTTCGACATTGATGCTGACCTTGATAGTTTAACTGGACTCGCTAAGCTGAAGGCACCCGGTCAAGCATCCTCGCCATTTGGCACGCTGTCGTGTTACGTTGCATTGCTCGTATTCGACTCTCTAGCCAGTTAGTTGGAACGCATCGGTATTTTGGCATAACCATCCAAATATACTATTCCATCCGACTACGCTATCGTGTTCTTCCTTGGTCTCGTATTCGTGGGTATATAACAAGTTCGAATAATTAGTGATTGGTCTTTGCGTCTGTCAAGTTCGCACCAAGACAAATCCTAAAGGCCTATTGCTCTGCCAACAGCTCTGTTTGAATCAGCTCTTGGCCAGCTCCTAATTTCATCTCATTTACCAGAGGTTCCGCTTGACTACTTTGCGGGTGTGTGGTTCATTATTGTGTGTCCACTGTGATCACGCCAGTTCCTCAGTCAGGCTTCATTATTGCAACTCAAATCGCGCTGAACTGCAGGGTTTTCCGTCATATTGACTACAAGTGTCACGGCCTGAGACTGGCTGGCTTTTATAGATTCGTTTTACCTTGGTTGCGTTGTAGTGAACGGTTGTTCGAGCATAACATCTTTTCTATCTGGTCGGGATACGATTATTTACCTCATTTCTCCTCGAGTGTCCTCATTTAATCCCAACATTTTAAGCGATAATTCCAATACAGAGAAGAATTTTGGTTTCGGGCATCCATTGGGTGGTAATTCAGTCTTTTCCGAAGAACTTCTTCCATTTTGGTTAGTGGTTGTCCCGATAAGCTGGCGAGGCAGTCGTTTGTTTCCCGTCTTGTAGGTACTTCTGAAATTTTGGCCAGCTTTTACAAAAGGATTTTCCTTCTTTTCTCTCTGTATCCCCTATCTGATTTTCAATTGCTGCTGTTAACGTTGTTGTGTGTTGCATCATAAGCAGAACTTCTAGTTTTTCTTCTGGTTGTCATTCATAAGTTGGCAATTTCGGATCCAATAGTATGCATTCATAATCATCAATTGTACCATATGTCTTCTACTTTGTTCATCCCATTGGACAGTCAGCCAGCGGTCTATATCTGATTCTCTTCGGTGGAATACGGTGACATAGGCAATAATGGAGAAAAAGCAGTTGTTATGTCGTGGAAGCTTGCCTTTTGGAGAAGTCCTCTCATCTTCGAAGAATGCAAAGTATGCTGCGCTCATATGATTTTGAATCGGTGGAGTATATTGTTAGCTCACATGAAGGTCTCACAAAGCTTTCGTTGTCTGCATATTCCTCAATTAAACGAAATATTTCGAGGTTTTTTCTCTTCCTTATTTCTCTCTTCATTCCTTTACCACTACCTTACTATTCTCTTTCAGGTGCTTACACAGGAGTCACGGCAGTTCTCTAAACTTCCCAGCAACCCGTAGCTCCCTAATCACCCTACAAATCACAACCTACTAACCCACAAAACATCCACCTCACCGAAGCTAAAAGCAAGAAAGCAGAGGGGATTTCGTCGTCCACTGCAGGAGTAAGCGGAACAACTCAAACCAAGCCCTAAGAACTAGACGCGAGAGATCAAAAACTACCAGCTTTCTACGCTCGCACTATCAATATTGGATATCGGATAACCAAGATCATTCACTTGAGCTACAAATATTCCTCAGTGTTTCAGACTCATTGATGTTAAGTCGTTTGGATTGCAGCCAGAAAAAGTATCTATGTAGCCAGTGTGATTGCAATTAACTGACAGTTGGGCGTCGCGGATTCCCATGGTAGCCCGTCAGCAACCTTTGTGGTTGGGGAGTAAATAAGAGGTGGGTGGCAGCTAGGTCTAGTAGGTCAGTTCGTAGTGAACGAGGTCGGTAGCACGGAGGCCACTCGTTCACATCTGACGCCACTCAGATTCTCATCCTACTTTCAACTTCCACTCAGTATCATTAGCATGAGTCCGCCAAACCACGACCAACTCAAACAGTCGCACAGATGCTGCAATATTCACTAAGTTAGACTACATACACTTTGTAGCAGTTTTCTTGATTAGGCCTGACAAAGTATGGTACCCAGAAGGCGGAATCCAGGGCAATCAGAGAGCCTTTCAGCCTCTTTTTTGAAGAAGAAATGGATCTATTTAGTCTTTTTTCTGTATTATCACGGAATGAATGGATATCTGATTTTGAAGTAACATACCTCGAAGTATATTCTATGTTGTAACTAACTATATTTATCAGTTTGTGTCTGCAACCTCTGTTGAACTTTCCAAACAGACACCAAAGGGCTGCAAAAATAACCCTGTAAAGGTTTCTTATAGGTAGTCACCTTCAGGTCTTTATATCTACTTCGCGAAGTTTACATTTTTGACCGCGGGCATTCTGATCACCCTCACAAGGTCATCCGTATTTCTACGATTGATACTCCAGCCATAATACCAATCTAAGGTAATGAAGGGACCTTCATCTATGCCTTTTGATGACCATAAATTACTGAGTTTAGCTAACACTTGTTATCCGAATCATATTTCTTTTCGGTAAACGGGACAACCAGAGAATATTGTATCCGTATCGTTATGGAAGAACACCTAGCAGTCTGATTGCTTCAAAATCTCTCAAATATGAGTCATACGAGGATAGTATTCGCGTTACTATCCAGACTTCAGCCAGGTAGATCTGTCGGTTGTTATGGCCGGGAGCGGTAGTTTTAAGGAACCCCGAAGTACATAGGAAGCTCATCTGTGACCTTTTTTGATATTCGATAGGGTTGAACTTATTCTAAGACGTATGAAAGTGCACCGCTGTGTCACTCGCTTCAGAGGAAAGAGGTAGAGAGAAACCGCAGCTATTATTAACCAGTCGCCACATATTCTTTAGTGTCCAAAGCACTTTTAAGCCTAATTCGGATTTTTGTTTAAGAATAGAACTATGAAAGCTTGTATTAATCTCTTTCCGGTAAATCTCTGTGCTTTTCCATTTCTATTTCGAAGGAGTCAGTTGATGATGCGGACACTAATGAGAGTGGGTTCCAGGAGTTGATTAGTTGACGTGGGAACCAGTACTCTTCGGAGAGTGCGTTCATTCTTAGCTTTTATATTCTAGTGCTATGTCCTTCGAGTTGTCGCAACATAGTGGGAAGGATAGATTGTGGTAGGAAAAGCATTCACCTTTATAATGTAAGTTACTGCACTGTGATGGGGGTCTGAGGACAAAGTCCTACTGCTGGCTGTACGAGTTGTGACGACACTGAGTTTTCCCACAGGTGAACAACAGTTCCATACTGATATCACCTCCCGCAGTATCATCCAAAACATAATCTTCCCTCACATATGTCTCATCGCTTGCTTTCACTTCCTGATATCAGTATTAAGCCTCTGACAACTTTTTGAATAGTTCAACCTGCTATTATTACTAACAGTATAATCTAGCAAAACACCATTTACAGTCCGTTAAAATTCCAGTGTCAGTTTTACATAGGAGCTTCCAACGTCGGAACTCCATGCCAAACTGAGCAGTAGGTATCTCTTGATAGAACTCTAGAATCTCGCGCGATGAATGTATGCTGTTTCTGACACATGTATTCAGAACCTGAGTATGTTTATTCATCTGGTCCAACTTGACCGTTGTGGTGAATCTGTGAAATTCACTTAACGAGTGTTTGAATATTCAATGGTTAACTCTCATGGAATAGCTAGTGTAGGTTCAGGATTAGTCTTGCCTGAATACCAGTCAGCAGCCATGTGTGTACTGCTCGACTGAATGCATTTGCCAGAGCTAGGAAGGGTCACAAGGATCATCGACACTTTCATAATCTCCTCCTGCATATCCACCGACTGCAAAGGATGAATTCAATGAGGAGCTGTTAATTTTGCAACAGAAAGCAAAACATTTTAGATATGGTCTTAATAACAGGAAGCTTCAACTCTCAAGTAGGAAAGCTGAGCCATGTATCGTGGAGGTGCCTACAGAATTCCATACCGACGAACGGAAAACGGTGATCGTTTTTTAGAATTTTGTTCTGACAATCACGTGTTTCTGGCCAGCACCAACTTTAAGCATATAGAGGAACACTGTCTCACATAGCGTACACCAACATCCAACTAGCCATGGGTACAGATGAATTATATTGCTATAACCCATCGTTGAAGGATCGGGGCTGTTTCTGAAGTACTTGTTTAAGCCGCGATCACGCGCTAGTAAGGGCACGTGTGTATCTGCACCTTACAGGTTGCAGAAAACAGGTGGCAGTTAAGCCTGTGCGTGCTCGATTAGAGAATGAGAACGTCAGTTGCGTATTTAGGGAAGACATAGCTAAGCGTTTATTTGAGGACGACAACAGTGCTCATCCTAAGGAAACCTGATGTGGTATTAATTTAACTGCAGAAATATCGGTAACGATAGCTAGTAACCTGCATCCAAGGTTTAGCGAACGTTATTAGATTTCCACAACAACATCCGAATTGATTGATGCTGGAAGAGTCATTCCAACAAGCTCTGAGCATAATGAAGAGCAAAAGGAACCTTAATGTAAATTGTAGAAGAGTCTCCGCAACGATAGCAAGCAGTGATAAGTGGTGAAAGCTAGGGAAATGGAGAGTGCATCAGTGTTAGGTAATACCCGACAACTATTTAGGCTTGTTAAGGATAACAGCAAGAAAACGATGGTTGGTGAAAACACTACCGAAAAAAATGACACGCTGATAACCTCCGAGGACAGGGGGCTGAAATGTGGAGCAGAGCACTTTGAAGCACAGTTCAATTGGCCCTCAGAAACGCTTTAGTTGGCCAATATCCAGCCTGAACCTGAATGGGACATAGATGTCAGTCCTGGAATAAGAGAAGGGCGTTTTGAACTTGAAGCGATTCAAAGCAACAGGACCTGACTATTTGCCACCCGAAGTTTTCTAGGATTGAGGTAGGAAATTACTGAGTAGAGTAGGAGAGGTAATGCATAATGTGTAGAAATCAAAGGTAGTCCTATACTGATTTACTTCAGTGACCGTACTTGTCTATAAGAAGGGAAAGAAGTCTTGTAACAACCATATGGGAATCAGTTTGAATAATATCATGTTCAAGATCCCTAGCTCCATAGTTATCGGACGCCTAACTGCAGCTCAAAACCAACAAACTCTTGGAAGTCAGATAGGTTTCATACTTGGAGGAGGGTGTGTTGAACAGATCTTCACCCTTCGTCAGGTGATGGAATGCAGGCATACTTACTGGCCGACCCTTGCCATATCTCTTGACCTAAAGGTGGGATTTCACTTCCGAACGTGAAGTGTTGTGGCAGTGTCTGACAGTGAAAAGAGTACCTGAGCAGGTTTACTATATACCTCTAATCAAAAGCTCTCTACTCAGACATGTTGACTGGCAAAATCAACGTGGAACTTCGCAAACAAACGCATCGGCTCAACTTGCGACACTTACAGTAGTACACAAAGAACAGGTGGATAGAAAAAGAGTGGTATAAAAATAAACGAAGTTGTGTGAGAGAATAAACAATCTGAAGATAAAGGTTTATGCAAATATTCAAGCTTCAGAAGATATCAAGGAGTGGATATGTCTACAACACTGTGACGAGTTTTCAGCTTTGTCACCAAGAGTTCTCAACCACTGATTGCTATCGTCTCGGGGACCTCAACCAGGCAGTTTAAATCTCCCTACATGACTCAGACCAACAGTCAGAGACTTCATTGACTTGTGCCATTTCTTGGTATGGCCACTCTGAATCCGCTTCCAACCTAATCCAACTTCCCCTAGCATGGTACATCGAGGTAGGAGGTGGCTGGGCATGCACAGTACATGTCCAAGACATCTCAGTCGACTAAGGTTTACAACCTTATCAATTGGCTTGAGTGTCTTGCTTATTACAGTTTCCCTGACTTCAACATTCCTCGCATGTTGATTCCACCAAACGTGAGTAAGGATACGAAGATATCTGTGACCAAAACCCTGTAATCGAATACACGCAGTCGTGTAATGGCTTATAGAGACATCGTCTGAGTTGACGACAACTAGTAGTGTCCCCAAGAGATACCCGCTGTCACCGTTCCTATCTAGTTCCATTATGGACGTACTAATGGACATAACTTTCTCTACCTCTGACGTAGTAAGGATTCATCTACTCCGTAGACGGCGTGCAGTTGGCGCGGAGTACGCAAGTGATGTTTTCATAGGTGAAGATGCTGACAAAATACAAGGTCTTCTGATCAAGTTAAGCAGAAATCTGAGTTTATTTGGTATGCGTTCCGCGCTTGTCAAGTGTAAGGTGATTCTTTCGAACTAAACTGCAGCTATTCTCATTTTAAGGATAGAGATTTTGACGGTGGGACGTGTCGACTACTGTACTTACTAGGGGAGTTGGATCAACCGGAACTGGCTGGTTGCTGACGGAATCTCGGATCTGACACGGAAGGGTCATCTGGCATTCGCAAGTATGCATCATTTCCGACACTGGTGAGATATCCGACCACTTTTCAAAAGGAGAGCATACTGCGCTGCAGTCTACTTTTTCCTATTATACAGCTATGAGACATGGCTGCTGATTGTAGATGCAATTACAGTTTTTGGCCACAGGTATCTTCGTAGCATTGGTCAGGTATAATACAGCCACTATATGAGCAATTTCAAGGTTGACCAAAAGCTACTAGGCAAGCCAGTCAATCAGGTTGTAAACTCACCGATACAATACACTTCCAGGCACCAGTTACCTCGACCTTCAATGTTAGCGGAGGCTAACTGAGGTTGGAACAAGGTTTAAGGTGCCCAGTCCAAGACGTGGGACCAATTTGTTATGTCGTGCTGTTGGTCTGAGCCATGCATGGAAGAGCTGGGTTCTCAAGATAGTAGGAATCAATGACTAGTAACTCTTGGCGATATAGCTGAAGGTCAATCACAACGACGCAGATGTCCTTACTTTTTGACATCTTTTAAAGCTTGAAAGTTTACACTAAACTTCATTTTCAAATTTCTTTTCCTCCTATATGCCTACTTCGATATCACTTCCCCTACCTACTTGTTCTTTGCATGTCTCTGTGAAATGTGGTAACTGGAAGTGATGCGCCTCTGCGTAAGGTCCTACATAGATTTTCTTTCTGTCTACTTATCAGATCATTTCATTATGTGGTCTTTAAGGATCAGTGCAAAACTGCCATACTTAAGCATACCCATGCAAATCGGTCATGATGATCTTTTTAATTATTCGATCAATGTGATTACTTGGGCAACATTGTAAGCCACGATCTTAACACTCAGTTACAGTATAGGGCAGGTCCCAAAATTCGCAGTCTCTTTGAAGATCTACTACGGTCTTTTTGAAGAGATTTTGAGTTTGTACCTGGCATGTGTATAACCTTGTTTAAGTATGAAATTCAAGCCCGACCGATAGTTGCTACCTTGTATATCACAATGACCCAACGAGCTATGCTAGTGGAACACTTGTTCCCTCG